GTGTCAATAACAATTCCCATGAGTTGACGGACCTCCATTAATATATGGACACAAATAAACATATTTTCTTGAAGTCTGTGAATCCTGCAACTATTCTGCAGATATCTCACATCTGTCGATCTTGATTCTGTAATCCTTTTTTTCTACCCTGAAAAATCTTGGAATATGCCTCGCACTCCAACCCATAGTGTCATGAATGGAAGGGACTATATTGTTATTGGAAGTTGTGATGAGGATGTAGTTCGCATCTGCTGTGCTCAAACTGGAAGGAGATGAGATTGCTTGTTTTGCAATTCCACCAGCAACCCCATACGCGCCATTCGATTTACTTCCCAAGTCCTTCAGTACCCTTCCAAATCCCAGTGCTGGAACAATAAACAATACAGAGAATGGAAGAGCTGCAACTGTAAGTCGCTAAGAAAGCGAAAATGCAACTCCCAGGCTAATGAAAAAGGATGATAATTCTAGGATTTAGTGCTAGATGGAGCCTTAATGCATATTCCAATCATTGTTTTGTTTTATAACAACAAAGACTGAATTTTTCTATTTAGGAGGAGGATATGACAGAGTATGGCATGGGAGGCCAAGTTTCCATCTTGGGAGATACTTATGGCTTTGGAATACTATTGCTAGAATTGTTCACAGGAAAAAGACCTACAGATGACATGTTCACAGAAGGTCTAAGCATTCACCAATTCGCAGTCATGGCAATGCCTGACCATGCCATGGACATAATTGATCCTTCATTGCTCATTGTAAGAGATGATGCAGATGGTGAGGACGAAATATACAACAATGACATACGAGCAAGGCCAGTTAGAAGTTATCACGATGGCAGCCCTGTCCTTGCAACAAGATTGGAGGAGTGTTTGGTTTCGGTAATGGAGATAGGACTCTCATGCTCTGCAATATTACCATCTGAGCGGATACAAATGGATATTGTTGTGAACAAAATGAAGGCAGCTAGAGACTCATATCTCAATTTGAGAAGAAGAAGGAGAAGAAGAAGCTAGCAATATTCAAGATAGGGCTACGTTTGTTATCTGATCTCAAATCTGTAGCCGCATCTATTTGCCAGAAACTATTCGAATAAGGATATTATATGTATCCATGTCTGTGACATTAGGTAATGATGTTTTATTCTGTTTATGTCTCTGATCTCAAATATGTAGCCGATGTTCTTACGAAAGCTGTTTCTACAAGTGTCTCTCTCAACTCGCTTGACAAGTTGGGCATGCGTGACATCTTTGCTCCAACTTGAGGGGGAGTGTTAGCGAGATATCCTATTCTATTAGGATATTTCCTTCTTATTCTATTAGGATTTTATTTATTTCATTTTGTATAGATATTATGTAATTAGGATTCCACTTATTTCCTAGTTTAACCATACTAGGGTTTGTAACCTTGTATTATAAATACCTCCTTTTGGAGAATGAAATATATCAGAAAATATTCTACCATATTGTTTGACTTATAATTTGTTCAGCTGGTGGAGTGTTTGCTGAGATGTCTTGTTCAAAATTCAACAACCTTAAGAGCCCCACTCACTCTCACAAGTTGGAACCGCACCAACGAACAGTCCTTAACATAGAGAATTATAGCAGATCATTGTGTCATTAAAAAAAAGCTTTGACTTTAAATCAAATTTTTTGCCTTATTCAGTTTTTTGGGTCTGAATACAATGTCCGGATTTCAGCAAATTCTCTGCATTCTGTATGGCTTAAGTGCAATTTGTGTGAAATTCATGAGGCTTTGCTCCCCTACCCCATCCCCCCTCCTCCTCCTCCTCCACAAAAAAAAAAAAAAAAAAAGTAATAGCAGGCTATGCGGCTTTTCTCCTCTGCCAAAAGTAGGTTTAAATTTCTTGAAACTGATTAGTATTGCCCTAGGTGATTGGTTGACAACAAGCAACTTCAATTCTAATTAGTATTGCAATAAGGCATTCTTTATTTTGGTCAAATTTTTTTTTTTCTTCTTCATCTTCTTCCCCACATTTCTCTTTTACACAATACTCAAGGCCCTCAATTAGTGTTTGTAATCTTTTGAAAGATGGCCAGCGAGGTAGTGGCATGTATAATTTGAATAAAAAGTTATTAAGTTAGGGGTGGTTTGATAACCATTTAAATTTGAGTTTTTAGTTTTCTTTTCTTATGCTAAAGTATCCAAGAAAAAGAGGGAGAACGGAAATGAGAATGAGAGTGGAGATGGAATTGAGAGGGAAGATGAGAAGAGAGGATGGGAGGGAGGAGTAACAAAAGTGAAAACAAAAACTAAAAACTGAAATCTATTTGAAATTGTTTTCCCATCCTCCCCTCTCATCCTCTCTCTCAATCTCATCATCACTTCTATTCTCACTCTTATTTTTTTTTTCTATACTTTAGCAAAAAATAAAAATAAAAATAAAAATAAAATTAAAACGGTTATCAAACAAGCCCTTATTTGTCTAAAGTTAACAGATGATCATGGAGAACCCCCCTTTTTCTTCTTCTTTAGATTCTTGTGCGCAAATTATTCTAGTACATTTGCTTATTGCGGCAATCTTTTTTGTTCCTTCAAGATTCACTGTCATGATGATTTTACCTTCTAAATGTCATTGGCATGATATTTTGCCACGTGGAAATCGTTGTCCCAAGTGTTGAAATTTTTTTTTGCATCCACTAAAATTGCCAAACAACTTGGAGAAATATTGCTATAAACTTTTAGGCCCTGTTTTGTATCATACTTAAAAAAGTAAATTAAAAAACTATATAATTCTTTTTTAAAAACATGAGTTTTTAAATATTGTTTGAAAGTGTCCACTACAATCTTTCCCTAATTTGATTTCTTACTTTTGTGTTATGGAGAGCAATACCGTGTTCTTTACTTTGTGTCATGGGTCAATAAGTTGTGTCATCTGACCAATTTTTACAAAGATTTGAAAGAATACGATGAGAAGGACCAAACTGATGTATGGGCCAAAAAATTAAGGACTACATTGATTTGAATGTTCAAAGACTTTTGGAAAGAATTACCTTACTAGGGCATATACTATTCACATGAACAGTAACCACCCTTACTTGCCCTTGCCTTTTGCCATGGAAAATAGATGGAAGTGCTCTTATAAGCCCTTGCTGTAAGATCCCATATCGACCAACGGAGAGGAGGTGATGTGCCTTATATGTACATACCCGCCTTTATCTACCCCTAATTTGATTTCTTACTTTGTGTTATGGAGAGCAATCGTGTTCTTTACTTTGTGTCATGGGTCAATAAGTTGTGTCATGTGAAAGAATACGATGAGAATGACCAAACTGATGTATGGGCCAAAAAATTAAGGACTACATTGATTTGAATGTTCAAAGACTTTTGGAAAGAATTACCTTACTAGGGCATATACTATTCACATGAACAGTAACCACCCTTACTTGCCCTTGCCTTTTGCCATGGAAAATAGATGGAAGTGCTCTTATAAGCCCTTGCTGTAAGATCCCATATCGACCAACGGAGAGGAGGTGATGTGCCTTATATGTACATACCCGCCTTTATCTACGGAGTCATGGGATTTCCGAAGTTAATCGAGTTGGGGCTAGAGCAATCCCAAGATAGTTTATTTTGTCCTTCTTAGTGTCATTGGCATGATATTTTGTTACATGGAAATCGCTTTCCCAAGTGTTGAATTTTTTTGTTCATCAACTAATTTTTTTTCTAACACTAACGCAGTATTGAAGCTTTTCTTTCTCCAATATGATTTTTTTCCTTTCTATGCACGCTTTCATAATTGTTGGTTGTTTTGGTATTTTTCCACTAACATTACACACAATGAAGCTTTGTTTCTCTGATTTGATTTCTTACTGTTTGTGCGCACTGTCTCTGATTTAACTCAATTCTATATATTTAGATATATTGGAAGTATTTTATAAAAAGTGTTCAGACTGTAGAGTTATGTTGCACTTGGATTAGTGAAATTTAATATTTTCGTTGAATCAGATTTGTGTCAGTATTTGAAGTTACAGATAGAAGGAGATTATTTTGGTGTTTTGATGGTGAATTTGGTAACTTCCCCTGTTGGTTTCTGTTTATATTTATAGTATACCATAATGCTAATTGCATGATGCATATGGTTAATGTCGGAATATGATTCTTTATCAATGTAGCTGTTGAAGAAATGACTGTTATAATCCTACACCGTCCGTTATGGTTTGGACTTCTTGTGTTCAATCTCTGCTGTATATGATACAAGATAGGGCTAGGTTTGTTATCTAATCTCAATCTATAAGCAAGAAATTATTTTAATAAGGATATTACGTATATCAAAGTCTGCGACTTCATCTGAGGTTAAATTCAGCATTTTGTAATGATATAGCACAAGAAGGGAAGAAGGTTTTATTCCATTTATGCCCTTGTTTGTCTGTTTCAGGACAAACAGAAACATCTATGTTAGCGGTTATTGTTGGAGTCCCCACCTTGTTGAATGACTAGAATAACCCTGGAAAATGGTCATGAGCATTGAGCACAAGTGCAAGCCCACCAAGAGCAGGTTTGTTTTGAGATTGAGGAATCATTTTATTTGGTTAGGGCGGAGTTTAGCTGCTGGAAATCTAAAATACTCATCTAATAACATAAAATTATGAGTTTAGCTGTTTTGAGATTCATAATCATTAGAATCTTATTAGAATCTGTCAAACGACAATATTCACAATAAGCCAACAAGCCAACAAGACACTCTGGAGAAAATAAATATCTTTAGTCATGTGAGTAGACCATTAATGTGAAAACTTGACTCTAAATTTCCTGCTTGACTCTAATTTGGTCTTCAACATTCTTTTCTATATATGAGTATAGTAGGGTTTCTTCTTTCTTATGCATGCATTTGTGTAAACAAAATACTTTCGACCCCAAAAAAAAAACAAAACACTTGGTTTGTGATTTGCTCTGTTTTTACAAAAGGGATGGAGCACTCACGCACGACTCATAGTAGGCTGATTTTGTTTACATTCCTTCATGGGTTCATCATTTTATGTATGAGCACACCTTTGGAATCTGCAACTCTACCCAGTGCCAGTGCTAATGCTTCTGGAAATGAAACTGATCGCGTGGCGCTGCTGGAATTGAAGAAAAGAATCACTCAAGATCCTCTCCATGTCGTGGGCTCATGGAATGATTCCATTCGTTTCTGCAGTTGGGTTGGCGTTAAGTGCAACAATTCCACCAAAAGAGTTGTGATTTTGAACCTGAGTTTTCAAAATCTGGTGGGATCCTTACCACCTTCTATTGGAAATCTTACTCACCTTACTGAAATCAACCTGATGAACAACAACTTCAGTGGTGAAATTCCTCAAGAAATGGGTCGTCTACGAAGCCTGCAATATCTCAAGCTGTCTTCCAATTCCTTCAGCGGGAAAATTCCAACTAACATATCGCACTATATCCACCTAAGGGTGCTGGATCTTCGAATCAATGCGATTACTGGGTCGATTCCCGACAACCTCAGATCATTGATGAGTTTAAATCACCTAGAACTTTTTCGCAACAATCTCACTGGAACCATCCCAAATTGGATTGGAAATTTTTCATCTCTAAAAGGCCTTCTTCTGGCTCGCAACAATTTTCATGGGAGCATACCCAGTGAGCTCGGGCGTCTAACAAGCTTGGAGGTGTTCTCGCTAGCAGCGAATAATCTGTATGGTATTATTCCTTCTTCAATCTATAATATTTCTTCCATAAAGAATTTTAGTGTTGCTGCCAACCATCTCCATGGAGAGCTACCACGAAATCTCGGCATTAATCTTCCTAATCTCGAAAATTTTTACTGTGGCGGCAACAAATTCACAGGAACTGTTCCCGCATCGTTGTTAAATTCTTCTAGAATTCAGATCCTTGATTTTCCTTCTAATGGTTTCACGGGGACACTCCCTGCTGAAAATCTTGGAACCTTGCGAAGCTTAGTTAGCCTAAGCTTTGCTGAGAATAGTTTGGGAAACAGGAAAACTGACGATTTGAATTTCCTCAGCTTCTTGGCCAATTGTACTAGCCTAAAGATGTTGGATATTTCTAGTAATCAATTTGGAGGAGAATTTCCACGATCCATAGCCAACCTTTCTACCCAACTAAAATATCTTTATTTCGGGGGCAATTTAATCCATGGAAGCATTCCTGACGACATTGGAAATC